GCCCCGGCCCCGTCGGCCCCGTCGGCGGCGCCGCCCTCGGGGTCCGCGCCGCCGTCGGCGGCGCAGCAGGCGAGCCCGCGCTTCTTGATCTGCGCCTGCAGCCAGTGGGCGACCGACTGGAAGCCGCGCTGCTGCGCGTCATAGATCGCGATGCCGGTCGGCTGCGACGAAAAACATAGGCAAACAAGGAGTGCAGAGGGTGTGTTACGAGGGGGCGCGCGACAGCCAGGCCAGAAAGTGTCAGGTGAGGCGGCCGCAAGGGCTGGCACGGTGCGTGGGCCCCGCGCAGGGCGTCCCCGGCGGTGAGCATGTGAACGCCTTGGCGACGGACTGGGCGGCACAACGGCGCGGCGCGCGCCGGCCCGGCGCGGGAGGGCAGCGGCAAGGCGGGCGGCATGGCCTCTGCGCTGTGGCGGCCCCTGCCGGCCCCCCACCTTGAAGCCGCGGCGCTTCATGCATATCGAGCTGTTGCACATCCAGCCGTCCGCGGGGTGCTCCGCCTCGTAGCAGTGGGGGCACAGCCACGTGCCCGCCGCCATCTGCTCCCGCGCCTCCTGCGGGGCGGCAGGCAGCGGGCGCAGCAGGCGTAAGACGAGCCGTGAGACGAGAGGAGTTGAGTTGCTGTGCGTGCTGCGGCCGTCTGTTTGACCATCGACCCTGTGCTGACCAGTTTCAATAAGCATCTGCCACAGGCTGTCTGCAGGGGCAGGCACCTGAGGTGTGCAGCGTGCAGGCCCCTGCGGCGCGGGGTCAAACGCGTTTGACCAGGCGCAGCGCGCACCTCGATGGTCTGGCCGTAGCGCAGCAGCAGGCAGGCGCGGCAGAAGCGGCCAGTGGCGCCGTGGCAGCGGGAGCTGCGGAAGTGGGTCATGACGGGCAGGGCGAGACGCGCGTGCTTGTAAGAAGGGCTGGCCGCTGGCGCGGCGCCGCACGGGCCGGCTTCCGACAGGCTGGAGAGGCGGCGGCGCGGGCAGCCGGTGAGCTGGGCAGTTGGTGGCGGGGCGTTCGCGGCGGCCGCCGCAGCCCTGCCATTGGCGCAGGAGGGGGGGCGCACCAGTCGGACTTGCCAATGCACTCTGCTGACATGCTGCGGCGGCTGCAGCGCGGGCAGCCGTCCTCGCCGCAGAGCTTCTTCTGGCGGCAGAAGTGGCACGTGATGCCTTGGGGGGGGGGGGGATTCGCGGGCGGCCGCGGCGGTCGCGCAGGCGTGGTAACCACACAAGCATTCGGGATTCAGGGGCGGCCCGGCGTCGCTGGCAGGGGCTGCCTGTGTGGGAGTGGCGCGATCAAGGGCGGGCGCTCGGGCGGCGCCAAGCGCGCCCACGCCCGACGCTGGTCGGGCCGCCGGCGGGGCGCCGGGCCGGCGTGCGCGTCGCCCGGGGTCTGCGGGCG